GCAGCAGCGAGAAAAGGAAGTGGAGGCACTGCGCGGACAAGTCGATCAAGCCAACGCCGCACTGGCGCAGCGAGAAAAGGAAGTGGAGGCACTGCGCGGACAAGTTGATCAGGCATTGGCCGACGCAGCAGCGAACGCAAGGGAGGCGGAAGCAAAGCGCGAACAGGTTAATAAACTCGACACTGCGCTGGCAGAAGAACGTCGACAAAGAGGAGCGGCGCAAGAGACGTCCGATCAGCGTACTTCAGAACTAGCAGAGGAGCGTCGACAAGGAGAAGCGGCGCAACATAAGGCAGAACAGTACGCTTTGAATCCGCAATTGCATCAAGTTCATATGGAGGGCGAAGGGTACGCTAGCGGCCTGGGCGAGGAGTGGAACCAGAGAGAGGCAGAATGCAGAGAGGCGCAGCAGGCCAAGGCAGATGTGGAAGCACTCCAGCTAAAGAGCGACGCCTGCGGCCATAAGAGAGGATCTTTGAAGGGAGAATTCTCTTCTCATGAGGGAGCCACACAACGACATTGGGACGCAGAGCGGATTAGGGAGCCGAACGACCAGCTCAGTCCTCCAGGAGTCAGTGTTTCCAACGTTACACTTCGACCCATGGTGCACAGCGACGCCAGAGCCAGCGGCCCTCTACCAAGCCTGGACGACATAGATATTCATCCGAACAAAGTCTTCTCCAGCCTTATACGTCAGCGGAGTTATCAAGACCAATTCCCAGCAACTATGTCCCCTCCGCAGTCAAGCAGATTGCCGGAAACTGCTGGCCGTGTCAACAATTGTGCCCCTTCCCTACCTTACTTCACACCACAGACTATCAACAGCTTTGCCCAGGCTCCGCCGACTCCGCTGTCTGGCGGACCGCTCGCGCCACCACCTGCAGTTGCTGATGATACCGCAATGGCTCCTACCCCTGAGACCCCTGTCGCTGTCCCACAACCTGCGCATCGGGACCGGGTGGACTATTACCAATCTCATTCTTGCCACTATGAGCGCCGCATATGACATGCGGACCCGGGACATGGTGTGGTAAGCCGCAGACCGCGCCTGAGAGAACCCTTCCTTCCAAAAGACTCGGGGGCCTCCCTTGACTCCGGGTAATCGACCTATATTGATATGTGGCCGACATCTCTTTTCAAAATGTAACAACAACTCAACATCCGAGTCATCATACGAACAGCAATGCGAGCACGGACCGCACACAACTGGCGTTACGGGAATTTCCCTTCTTTTCATGTTCAACTCGCCTTCATGGTCGTGGGTGAGGCGACCCAGGGATGAATGGCGCCGCTGATGGAGCTCTACATGAGCGTACATATATTCGCGTATGGACATGGTCCACAAGGGTGGTTGTGACACGTTCCTTTTATATATATATTTGGTAAGGATACCCCAAAAGCGATTGTCTGATGGGATGGTTTTTGTCCAAGGAGGTCTTTGGGCTTCGCAGGCGACAAGTCGTTCCTACTTCTTTGTTGGGGGGGGGGGGTCCCTCCTTTTCGGGTGGTTTTTACTTTTTTTTTTTAGGCGCAAGATACCACACGACGATTTTACGACCCGAGCAACGACACACAGGACACCCCTGGGTGGTAACGAAAACAACCGGAGACAAAAGAATGGGATGGCTGATGACGACCAGGAATGATACCCAAGGGCGGGGTTTTGGATAGTGGTTGCGATGGCGGCACGCCATGTGGGAAAAGCTACCTTAGATAGGGATCGGATATATTGCATTGATACCTCATAACTCAACTCCTTTTCATGTCTCATTCAGATTGATTCCTTGATTGATTGATTGATTCGTTCCAGCAATGATAATCATGATATCTATCGTTCAAGATTTTCTGTTCCTTTTCGAACGTCAAAAACTACCGCGTTCGTCTCGTCGTTATTATATGAATTACCCGGGTCTCCCGGTTCGTGGGTTCTCGTTTATCATTTGAGATTTGCATTCCATTTCACTTTTCCTTCCCAAGGGGAAATCCATCCAAACAAAAATCTGCTGAAAAAACTTTCCTGCTGGGAATAAAGGCGGGGGAGTGTGGTGGCTTTTTCTGCCTTCGTGTCTTCGGTGCAGAAGAGGGTTGCAGGATGAGATGATCGAGCCCGCATTCGTGATCATCACGTCGTTCGTCCATGTCGTTGAAAGGTCATAGTCCGGATTCACACCGCTGCGAAAATGTCGTCCAGCGAGCGCAGCACGAACTCGCCGGTCCCCATGGCCGTCTTCATGCCCCCGTTCTCGCCCGAGTCCCGCCAGGAACTCACGTTGATCGTCCACACGTTCATCCCCGGCGCCGGGGAGTCCGGTCGGCCGTCGGACGCGAAGTTGGACGGGATGCTCTCCAGGCGCACCGAGATCCGCAGTCGCAGGAACGGGATCTGGCGGTCCAGCCCCCAGTCCTTGACGCCCGTCAGGACGCAAAAGTCGCGCTTCTGCCACAACGCCGCGATTTCCTGGTCGTTCTCGCACACGTACCGGTTGATCCAGTCGTGGCGGAAAAGCAGGGCCTGGGCGCCGGGCTCTTCCTCGGCGTCGTAATACGAGTCCTCGTCGACAGCGAGGTGCGCTGCATTGCCGCCCCAGAGTGACTTCCGTCTGCCAAAGATACACACGGGCCGGAAGTCTTCGTCGAACCCGAACTTCATCCAGCAGATGCGCTCGCCGTTCTTGTCCTTCCTCGACGGTGGGACGTAAATGACAGCGGCGGTGCCCCTGATGCTCATGACGCTCCCTCTAACACGTGGCATACTGAAGTAGAGCGGTCGAGGAGGCAGTCCTTGAAGTCCATTGGGGTGGTACTGCTTCGCTGCTCCTATTTCTTCGGCGCTGTACCGGCTGATTGACTCCAAGGGTTTGCGAAAATGGAACCTTGCTTGATAGATCTCGTCGAGCGTGTATGCCGGTAGAGTGAAGTTATGGAGCCGGAAGCCATGCCAGCGTCGGAGCGGCGCGTCGATGATATTCGGCCGGACGTGGACGACGCGAACACGACCGTGAGAGTCGTCCAAAATTGTACGAAGCGGTATCGGCAGCACCGTGGCACCGTCGACTTGCACCCGGGCATATTGCTCTGCATTCTGGGACGAAGAGAGTCGTTCGAGAAAGATCCCCAGTCGGTATTGGGGGCGATCCTTGAGGCTGCAGTTGAGAATGCAGAGGTACGTCTCCATTGCCCACGGAAGGGTCATCAAAGAAATCGATATCCCGACGTTGGTCAACGCGAAGCCGCTGGTGACTTGTAAGCCGTAGGAGGCAGGGACAACGACGTTCTGGCAAAACCCAAAGTGAGAGGGAGAGCTTGCCAAAAGGCCGCTGTGGCCGCCGAAATAGCCATCCAATCCACGATCCCACGCAAATATGGATTGGTCGTCGGAGCGCTTGATGATCTCTTCTTGCAGCCTGGCAAATGATTTTTCTCCTTCGCCGTACAACATGGGCATGCTAACGTCGAAGATACCGAGGAGACTGTACGCTCGGTCCTCAGTCCGTTCCGTTGACCGCTTTGATGCCCACGACATGCGCTGTGCTATCGAACAGCTCGAGTGTCTTCTTTGACCAATTAGGACTTCCCTGTCGATGCCAGTGATTGTCGAGAGCTTCGCTGCAAGGTTGTCTTTGGTTCCCAGAAACACCCAATTTCGATCGTAGAAGCCGACATGCTTTGGAGCAATCAATTCCTGCAGTGTCCAGCCTCTTGTGAACCATACACTGTCCTTGATGTCGTGCTTGTGGATCTCAATATCCGTAAGGTAGGCAAAGCAGATTTCGGCATCCTGGTACCATCGATACATTGAGTTGATGGCCTCCGTCAACTCGGCGGAGCTGGTCTTGTCGATGCAACAGGTGTCGACCCAAAGGTAGGAAAGTCCCTTATTACGGGCAAGCCAGCAAGCCGACTGAATCTTGGAGAAGCCTTTCTTGCCAAAGGTCTTGGGAGAGCTCATTTCCTGCAAAGTGACTTCTTCATTTTCCCATCGATGCGAGAGAATAGCATATGGGGGAGCCTTGCTGCTGTGGACTTCCTCCAATTGAATCGTCCGGACATTTATCAGGCGCATGGCGGCGATCGCGGCGATCTGGGGAAGTCATGAGCCTTGATCCGTGGTGCTGGAAGCCTTTCCTGTTGACAAATATCTCCAGCTTTATCGACGGCCTGTAGAAGGATTGAGCAGCGTCGACTCGAGTTCATGCATTGGCTTCACGATAGTCCGCATCAATTGTTGCACCATCCGCCTTTGCCGAAATTCACCTGTTCGCTGGACCCAATGGGCGATAACAAGGTCTACAGCATGTGGGCGTAGACGAAGTAAAGACGGTGAATTGAGAGTCGAAAGTGATACGGGAGCCCCGGGGTGATGTGTGGTTGTTCCTGGTGCGGCTGAAAGATGTGTTGGCTGGTGATTCGAGACTCGAGGGGCTCGGTCCGAAAGGCGGCCGAATGTGTGAGAACAACCCACCGCAACAGTTTTCGTTCTCCATGTCTCCTGCGGGAATATTGCGACTTCATCAAGCAGTCACTACATCTTAGACCCTTCTCCTGCGTCTGACTGTTCGTCCTCTCCATCATGCCCCCGGTAAGTTGCGCTCGTTATGCTTGCCATGTCTCGCCGACCAGCTTTCGCTGTTTCTGTGGCATTATTGACTGGTCACTCCCTCTAGAGAGGATTCACGCTCCCTCCCGCCAGCACACAGTCCGCGAAACAAGCGAGGAGTGCATTCTTCTGCTCGCTATGTCAAAAAGGTTACAGTCGCATGAACGAATTCGAAGCCCATGAATCCTCCTATGATCACCAACACAAGAAGAGGTTGAAGGAGATGAAGGAAATGCAACGACAAGTGCAACCCAAGAAGGAAGAGAAAGGACCGCTGATGCAGATCAAACTCGGAGGTGGTCCTAAAACCACAGCAGCCGGCGGCGGCGGCTTCAAGAAAGGGGGATTCAAGAATGCATTTGCTCCTGCGGACGAGGGGCCAAAAGCCGAGCCCGAGAAGAGAGAGGATGCGGACACTCCCATGGTCGAGAAGCGTGATGCCGATATGGACGACAGTGATCTCACAGAAGATGAGGATTACTACGACCCTCGAAGACCGACGGGATGCATGCCCGGCTGCAAAGGCCATGTTTCTGCCGGCTCTTGAAGCCACCATTTTCCTCGAACGATCACCGGCATCTACGATCCACAAACTATGCATCTGTCCGATCCCGCATCGGCGTTTCTGAAAAGCAATGCTCGCAATCTGTTCTGACCTTGCGCAGTCTTGTACCTGCATGGCAGGCTTTTAAGATGATGGCCGCAAGTCTGGGACGACCAATAAAACAACTGCAGGTTTCGCCCTGGGCCTACCGGTGTGGTATCCACACCAGGTCTGCAGATGGATGGCAGGAGAACCCATGGTCTCAAAAGGCGGACCTGTGTGGCTGGCTGGTGCGATATTGAACTGCGCCTTGAAAACTCGACATGCGCGAAGAAAGCTTCCAGTCCCTGCCTAGCACCTGGAACGGTATCAGAGGCCTCACTCGCTCCCTGCTCTCGCTCGCATACCGACCATTTGCAAATGGTCGATCTCATGCAAAAGCCTCAATCTATGCCAATGGCATCTTCCTTCGACGTCGACTTTTCAGAGAGACACCGCCAATGTGCACACCAAATTGTCTCCTTGTTTTGCTGATGTACCGGGCGGCCACGTTGTCAAGTCTTTCTTTTGCTATGAAAGCCGAGTAGCCCACGAGGCAGGCTCTTCGCAGGGCTGCATAATGATGACCAGCTCATGCTGCAGCTTTAGCAGTGCATGCCACGTTCCACCACTTGTCAACTTCGACTCAGGCGGGCAACAATGTGCCTTGGTTTGGAACTTTCCTGCCAAAGCTGGCACCTGATGCCCTCACTTTAGAGCAATCTTCGATGCGAAGGACGTATGGGCAGCTCTACGGAGCACTGAGGAAGCAAGATGGCGACGGTCGATTCGCCCAGTGACAGCGCTTGACAATTCATATTTGCTGTTCCCAAAAACGCCTCATATTGATCGGTCGTCTAATTTAAAATCTCTGGGGAGTTATGATACAGAAGAAATAGTCCATCATGGTCTTCCACTATAATATATCGACAACCGTAGCAACAACTATAGCCATAATCACCGCCATCCCCAGTGAACGTGCCCTTATCTGCACGGCGGAATTGACGTTGAACTGCAATACTTGGCCTTGCGTAAAGTTTGTCGCAGCGCCCGTGATTGCCACCTGAGTCAAATTCCCACACTCGGCATTGATAGTGGCGTTAAATTGAAAGCTGGGCAGCTTAGGAATTGCGGAGTCGAGGGGTGCGCTGGCTGGATCGTAGCCCTGAGGTGAAGCTTTGAGGTATGCGGCTCGGTATGTAGAATTGGAACCAACAATGGACAGGTTTGCGATGGTGGAGTACTCGCTGCAGATGGGCTGATTGCTTTGTTGTTGGCGGGGGCTGAGTAGGCTGAGTGGCGAAGGAACAGCGGTTGCCATTGTGATGAGGGCCAAGAGGAGGCAGGTGATGGTAGAGAAGCGTGTTCTTGACATGGTGTTGGTGGTGACTAGTCACAATGTTGGATTTGGTTGGAGATGCCAGAGGTGCAACGAGAAACGTATCCGTCAATGAGGCTCAGAGAAGCGGTGAACAGGAAGAGAACGCACAAAGGGAGCTCGACGGTTTTGTATTTGAGCCATGGATGGCATGCTCACCGACACCTAACTTTCGAAACAGGATGGTATAGTCTCCTGAAGGTTGAACCGCGTGTGGTCGCGCCACTCAGGTCCGTGAAACTGTGCACATCGGCCATGATTGAGATCGCAATCTCCCGTACTTGACAGGTTTGGGACCACGATAGCCGGCTCGACAGGTGATCCGGTTTGAGAATTTGAGGAGTGGTGTTTGACGAAAAGGATCTGAGACTAAAGCGGTTTCAAAACTCTCAGACAAAGCTGAGGCTGAAGGGGGAGGGCGCTTTTCCTTCTTGGCATTCAACACGGCTACCTTTGGTTAGCTCTGGGGGGAGGTCAGAGAGTGAGTCCATTGCCCCTCCTTAGGTAGCAGGCTCTCGTGCTTTTCTGTGTGAAGGAAGGATGACTCGTGTAAGGAGTAGAGATGCTGAACAAGGCTGAGTGAGCTCGCCGTAAATGTACTAGCTTGATAGCCCACAAGGCTGCCACTAACTCTTTGTAGTATCTCATCTTGGCAGATTCTCGGAGAAAAAAGTATTCGACGCGGGCTTTGCATACTCCATGCCGGTGCCTCCCTTCCGAATGCTACTACTATGATACGTCCATAAATTGGCGTCTGGAGTCTCTACAATCTACTGCGCTTAAGTGGTGGAAAGGGGCTGGGTGATGAGGATTGGACGTTGTTTCGCTTTCATCCGGATCGATCTCATCCGCGACGCTGTGCCTAAGCTCGCGAGTCACGGCCAAGGACACTTCACAATCTTGCAGAGGAGGATCTTCGCAACCTCATCACGCTCCAACATGGCGTCTTCGGCTACTCCAGAGACCATCATGATTGATGGCAAGAAATACAGGCACGTCCGCGAAGGCCTAGCTTCAGTACTTGCTCCCTATGCAGAGGAATTGCCCTCGTCAGCCAAACACTCCAAAAACAACGATGAGGGTAGCCAGGCCGTCTTCTACAATCCCATCCAACAGTTCAACCGAGACTTGACCGTCCTTGCAATCAAAGTCTATGGCGAAGGTGCTCTGGTGGAGAAGCAGGCAAGAGTTACTCAAAAGAACCAGCATGCGAAAAGAAAGAAGGCCGCCAAAAAACTCAATGTCCCACCAGCCACTCAAGTCGATGATGACGCCAACAAGGAATCGGAGCAGCCTAATACTCGAAAGCGCAAGGCTGATCACTTGGAAGATCTAGTGGGCGATGATAAGCCGGAAGAGTCTGTAAAGAAGGCCAAAGCTAACGGACACGACGAAGATGACGAAGAACCGCTTGTTGCTGAGATAAGTGCTGATCCTGCGGGTAACGCGACTGGAGGAGAAGGGCAGCAACCAAAGACTAATGGGCATTCAGGGGCTGCCGAATCTGGAGGCAGCCCTCCTGCAGTCTCAAGGAAACAACTTCCCTTTTCTATTTTGGATGCCCTGTCTGCAACAGGCCTTCGAGCATTGAGGTATGCCAAAGAAATACCGTTTGCAACCACCATTGTCGCAAATGATCTCTCTCCGGCATCGGTCGAGAGCATTGAACTCAACATTAAACATAACGAAGTCAGAGAGAAAGTCCGGTCCAACCTTGGTGACGCTCGGTCTTTCATGTATAGCAAAGTTGGCAACGAGCAGTTGAGACCTGCGGAAGGATATGTACATCGCTATGATGTGATCGACATTGACCCGTATGGGACAGCAGCTCCTTTCTTCGACTGCAGTCTTCAGGCAATCCAGGATGGTGGGCTGCTTTGTATTACCTGCACGGATGCTGGTGTTTTTGCTTCGACAGGCTATCCTGAAAAGACATTCGCTCTGTATGGTGGAATTCCTATCAAAGGGCCACATTCGCACGAAGGCGGTTTGAGGCTGATCCTCAATGGAGTTGCGATGTCTGCCGCAAAGTATGGCCTTGCAATCGAGCCCCTTCTGTCACTTTACATCGACTACTATGCTCGAATCTTCATTCGGGTCCACCGAAAGCAGCAGGAAGTGAAACTGTTAGCTGGTACTTCCATGACCGTCTATAACTGCGGTCATGGCTGTGGAGCCTGGGTCACACAGCCTCTGCTTCGGAATCAGCCACAGACGTCTAAATCAGGCGACACATTCTACAAATTCTCATTCGCCCAAGCACCGTCCACAAACCGGAACTGTGAGCATTGTGGTTCAACGATGCACCTGTGTGGTCCGATGTGGTCAGGTCCCCTGCATAATCCGCACTTTGTTGAGAAGATGCTCGAGAAGGCCCGAACCCTGGACAAGGACACATATGCCACTGTCGATCGGATTGAGGGAATGCTTACTTTGGCCCTAGAGGAGGATCTCATGCCCAGTAACTCGGGCCTAGATGCTGCAGCGGTCTCAGAGTCAAAGAACAGAGCTACGCCTGACTCGAGGTTAATACCGCGACTTGCGACCAACAAGCCAGACGTTGCCCCATTCTTTGTCATGCCTACTTATTTGGCAAAGATAATCCATTGCGCCACACCTTCGGAAGATGCGATGAGAGGTGCCCTGCTTGGTCTCGGCTACAAAGTCTCCAGATCTCATTGCAAGCCCGGCAGTATCAAAACGGACGCCCCATGGCCCGTATTGTGGGAAGTGATACGAGAATTCATGCGGACAAAGGCACCTATCAAAGTTGGGGCCGTGAGGAGGGGCACAGCAGGATTCCAGATCCTTGCGAGGGCTAGAGGGTCGGAGCGAGCTGTTGTGTCTGAATTGAAGGACACCACAAGGGACCAGCTTCGGAGGTGCGAGACTAAGGACGACCTGAAAACTGTGCTGCAAGGGATTTTATATCGACTGGAGAACGAGCAGTCGATGTTTGAGACAAAGAGTGGCGAATCATCTGAGCCGAAAGGTGGTAATGGAGAAGCGACAGCCCAAAAGGAGAGATCACCAAACCGCAATCGCACACGATCCAGAAGTCCCCCACCTCTACCACTGAGCAAGCTGGAAATTACGTTCGACGAGAAGCTGGGGAAGGAGAAGTCTCGCGGCAAGTTAGTAAGGTACCAGATGAATCCGAGGGAGAATTGGGGTCCGATGAGCCGAGCTGGAAGGACTTCATAAGGCTCTTGACGCAGGTGTGTACTTCTGTGGTATCCCTTCTCCCGTTTTGGTGCCAACTTTCCCAAAACGCCAGGTCACCGATCTTTTCCTCTGCTGGCATTAAATTGACCAACATCTGACTTGACCTTTTCTATTAGCGTTGGTTTCTAGCCCTACGCCCTTGGATACCCCCGCCTCATTTGCAGCTCTCCTGTCTGTCTGCTTTCGCCAGATCACTCACTATGGTCCCCAACGCCGAGCAAGTGAAACGGCGCTGCAAAGCACGCCAGCAGGCAGGAAAGGCGATGACTAGAGCAAGTGGCGGCACTCCTGGCTCTGTTCTCGGGACATTTTCCAACTTTGCGCAGCTCTCGCAATTCTGGCTTGACCCAAAAGATGCGGACGTGCTCAAGAGTGGTCTCCTCGATGTGGTGAACGCAACAGAATCCCGGCCGTCTAAAGTGAGCAAGACGAAAGGCGGACAAACGGCGACTGAAGCTCGAACCATCGCAAGTTCTCCCTATTCTATCGTCGTACGGTCGCTGACTGTTTTTATAGTCCCAGCTCAACTCCGATGTCATGAAAGCAGCCTTTCTCCTCGCATACAACACGATGGAAGCAGCAATTACCACTGCTGATAGCACTGCCGATGAAAGCAAACCGCTCACACTCCCAATGCCGATACAGGTCGATCGGATCAAGTCTTCGCTTACAATTCTAGGGCACAGTGATACGGTTATCAGCACGATCATCGATGGTGCACGAAGTCTGCTACAATACCGCAATCTGAGAGACGAGCGATACAAAACGATTGAGAAGCTCAAGAAGGATTTGGAACGCGTCACAAAAGAGATTGCGGAGATCTCGAAATCCTTTCAGTCATCAAAGGCCTGGCAAGCCCCGCGCCTCACGTTGAATGACTCCAAGGTAGTCGTTGTGGAGGACGAGGCAATCGCTCGCGAGCGTGAGCAGGCAGACAAGGCAATAGATGACCTCAAGACTGTTACTGCTCTGGCTCAGAAGTGGAAGAAAATCAGTGGCATTGATGAAAGCCATTCAGAGGCGAACGCTGCAAGTCGAAAGGCCAACAATCACCCAATCAAGCCGACACCGGCATCACAACCTAAGACGCCGGGGTCCATACCCATAGAAATACTCGATTCTATCGACGGTCAGGATGCTAGGGTCCCTTGTGATAGAAGGAAATGATGTTGAATCTTCACTCGTGGGACCTCTGGTCAGCACTTTGCGAGTCAGACTGGGAAGTCCCAGGTTTCGAGGAGTTTTGAGTATGGCAGATTTTACAACGAACATGGCGCTTCTCAACGTGGTGGACAGATCTCATCGAGCTGGACAGAACTGGGCGAGCCTGGAAGAACCCAATGAGCTTCGCAGGTTTCCAACGAGCTTGACTGTGACCGACATTCTTTGGGCTTGTCACTTCTAGACATCTCTCCTCTCCCCAACCCGAGCAAATGCGCGGGCATCATATGTCATTCCAAATCCTTCAATACAAGATATCTAACCCAGTAACTATCCTCCTCATCAAAGGTCTTGTAAGCTTAGGGGGAAAGAATTTTCATAGTATAGGCTGGCTGAACGCTTCATGTGAATAATATCTCAAGCTGCCTAGATCCTCTCTTAGAAGGCACCCGCCGTCGCTGCTGCGAGAGGGCATACGTGTCCAATGTCTCTGTTGAGCAGTGAATCTTGCCCCAGTGACCAGAACCGACGCACAAATTTCTCACAGCGCCATCCATCCAGCCAAGTCACAATCCTCCCCATCTCCCCTGTTGTTCTGTCTTGTCTTCCTCATTCAATATCAAAACTCGTGCCACATCCACAACTACTCGTCGCCCGCGGATTCCCCACCACCTTGAACTGGCTCCCGATCAATTCCTGGGTGAAATCAATGGTGCTGCCCTTCAACAACTCCAGGCTCGCAGAGTCCATGACCACCTCGGCTTTGCCGGGCCCTGCGGGCGCCGTCTTGTCGTCGTTTGCGAATATGGTGTCTTCTTCCGTGTCGATCTTGGACGAGTCCTCCAGGGACATCAGGTACTGGAAGCCGTGACAGCCGCCCGAGGTAACCGTGACGCGGAGGTGGGAGTCTTGCGGCGACGACTGTGAGGATGTGGAAGAGACGAGGGTGTTCTTCTGCGCCGGCGCGCTTGTGATCTGCTTCAGGCGTTTGGCAGCTCGCTCGGAGATGGTGATGGTCATCTCGTGCCCGTCGTCGTCGACGCGCGGGTTCCGCACGACCACCGTCGCCTGACTAACGGGCGTAGAGGAGAGGGGTCTTCTGTCCGTCAGGCTCTGCCTTTCTAGCGATAGCATGGGACGGGAGGGAGCTTGTCGTCTGGGGTTTGTCATCGGGTGCGGCGAGGCATTGGAGATGCCTCGACATGCTCGCAGGTAGGTCGTCGGGTCCTGTGGCCTCCGTAGAGGACGTGCGGCTCGGAATGCGAGTCTCATTGGGGTTTGCGACATTGTCATTTGTGCTGAGACGATCTCTGTGTGCGTTGCAGGCGTGTAGAGTGCAGGGCAGCCCGTGGTCTCTGTCGGCGAAAAATGACGACGATGGAGATGCGGCGGGCGGAACAACCTCGGCGGCGGCCGTTGCTGACAATTGCGTTGGTTCCACTGTGACTGGTTCAACGACGCCGTGGCAGCGCAGTCTACGACCACAAAAAGAAAAGACGCAGCAGAAAGAACCTTCACCTAACAACACATCAGGGTTCTCAGACACCGAACGATCAAGTGGCTGCTGATCCGATAGACCTAGAGTCCGCAACCTCCAGGCAAGGAAAGGAGTCACCACTTCCCAAAGGTACGCAGGTATCGTGGCCCATCCGCTGATGTCGACGCCACCGGCCAGCTCTAACACACTAAGGTAGATACACCTCCTGCAAGCGGTGAGGGTCTTGTGGCTTTTTTTGGGAAGAAAAGAACACAATCCTACACCCAGGGCAATCATCTATCATTTCTAGAGCCGAACACTTCTGTGGACTGCGGAAGAGTGTGCATTTTCCCGACCACCATGTCCGCAGCAACTAGGGCCCTGCCATCTACTGAGCACTCCATCGATCTATTTTCGCGAGACTACGCCCTCTCGCTCGATGCCGCAGATCCGCTGTCTCATTTTCGCGCGGAATTTCACATCCCGACTCTGGCAGATCTGAAAAGGCCAACGCTGGCCAAGTCTCCCGAAGAAGCGCCCTCTCAGCCTTGCACATACTTGTGCGGCAACTCTCTTGGTCTTCAGCCCGTCAGGACTGCAAATCTGGTCAACTCCTTCCTTACACAATGGCGCACGAAAGGAGTATTGGGACATTTCGTCGAGCATTCAGACTGTCCCCTCCAACCGTTTTTGCACATCGATGACCATGCCGCGAAACTTATGGCTCCAATCGTGGGTGCTGTTGAGTCGGAAGTGGCCGTCATGGGTTCCTTGACGGCGAATCTGCATCTCCTCATGTCGAGTTTCTACCGCCCCAGCCAAAAGAGCCAAGGGAGGTGGAAGATTCTGCTCGAGGGCAAAGCTTTTCCCAGCGATCATGTGAGTAGGACCGTGTCCTGGGAGTTCAGACAAGTGCGGTTGACCACAGTGTCAGTATGCGGTTGAATCGCAAATTATCCATCACGGTCTGGACCCGGCAGAAGCAATGATCTTGTTGGAACCGATCGATCCTAAGTTTCCCACCTTACCCACTGACCAAATCCTTCAAACAATCGACCGCCACGCCTCGGAGCTTGCCTTGATTCTCCTACCAGGTATCCAATTCTATACTGGTCAATACTTCGACATCCCTCGTATCACAGCCCATGCTCACTCGCACGGCATCATGATTGGCTGGGACCTCGCTCATGCCGCTGGTAATATTGACCTCAAGCTGCACGATTGGAACGTTGACTTTGCCGCTTGGTGCACCTACAAGTATCTCAACTCTGGGCCGGGCGCAATGGCCGGCATCTTTATCAATGAGAAGTTTGGCAAAGTTGATATGGAAAGTCCAACCCACAAGTTCTGGCCGCGATTGACTGGCTGGTGGGGAGATGATAAATCGAGCAGGTTCCAAATGACGAATAGTAAGTTTCAACAGCCTTGATTCATATTCCTCGGCTGATTTGGTCTGTGAAGGATTCGTCCCCAGACCTGGTGCCGCAGGTTACCAGTTGTCCAATCCAAGCGCGCTCGATCTTGCGGCCGTGGTTGCCTCGTTACAGATATTCAACGAAACGTCAATGAAGGAGCTGAGGGAGAAATCTCTGCGCTTAACCAACTACCTAGAGCAACTCTTGGATGCCATGGCGTTGAAGAGACCGGGGAAATTCAACATCATCACTGCCAGAAACCCGGAAGAAAGAGGCGCACAGCTAAGCATCCGACTTGCACCTGGCTTACTTGACGGAGTCCTGAATCATCTCGAACATGAAGGCGTCATTGTGGACGAGAGGAAACCTGATGTCATTCGAGTTGCTCCCGCACCCTTGTACAACTCCTTTGCCGATGTCTTCCACTTCTGTCAGGTACTGGACGACGCTCTGGGCCAGGAAAAGTTGTCCACTGCAAGACCAAGCCCAGCGTCAGAAGGATTGGCAAGTCTCTGAAGCGGAGAGCCATCATCGCCACAGTCCAGCTGAAGCGCTTTTTGATGTGACCAGGCCTATCATGCACCTCAGTGTCATGCTCAGCCAACAAAGTCTTGAGGCTAGAGCTCCAGGGCAGCTTTCATTGGCCTATGTCGTACCAACGACCCCATAGGTTTAAGCACACAAGTCGCACGATATTTGTCAACCAAGATGTTGAGAGTCGTGCTTTCCCGGAAGTGCATTGGTGTCTACGCAGAGCGGCTGACTCATAGCACCCAAGTTCGATCAATCGTCCTCGCTATCGCTTGGGTCAGCCTCACGCCATAGGACAAAGTCAAATTTGCCATCGAGGTTTGCTCGCATATACTCGCGAATCATCTCCTGCGAATCCTCGGTCAAATCATAATCAGGATCAACGGCCATCAGCGACAGGTTGAACCCCTTCTGCTTCTCAGGATCAAGACTCATCAAGAACTCCATGATGGCCCCCGAGGTGAACCGAGTCATGGCGTACAACGTAAGGTTCTTCAGGTATTTGAGGTTCGCAAGGGGTTGGAGGATGTCGGCCGATACTTCGCCTCCACTTGTCCAAAAGTCTTCAAGAAGTGGTAGGCTGACAGCGAGAGAAATGATGTGCTCTTCCGAGAACTCATCCGAGACATCCTTCAAGACAAGTTCCCTCAGATTTGTCAAGTTACACAACCCTTCAACCATGAATTGTAGGTCATCCGGCATCGTATCTTCACCATTTCCTTTGAGCCACACCGACTCGAGGGTTCTCTGCTCAGCCAACGCAGTGTGGAACAACTGAGAATTGGTGTGGCGTACGGTATAGCCTTCGAGGGATAACCTTGTCAACCTCACACTGGGGGAACATAATACTCTGGAGAGTAGAGCGGGCCCATCAAAGAATTGCTTCAGGCTGAGATCGCAGAGGGTTTTGCAAGAGCTTAGCCATTCGACGACTTCCAGGAATACATCGTTGTTTCGAAGCTCCAGCTGGATATTTCCATATCTGTCGTCGAGTTTCAGTGTCTGGATCTCAGTGCAGTCCTTGAGGGCGTTCAGGTTTCGCACCGCATCTTGATTCAGACTCCCCAGATCCAGTTGTTGTAGTGTCTTGTGCCGGCCGAGCGCTTGAAAGGATCGCTGGCCAAGATCATTGTTGCTGATCATTTCAAAGTACCTCAGCGTATCGGGTTTGAGCTCGTTCAGGAAAGTGGCAAATGCCTCATCCGCATCTGGAGACTCCCACTCATGTAAAGTCAAGCTGTGGAAATTATCGCAATGCTCAGCAAGTGCAGCCCCAGCGCCGTTGACCAGGGCGTCGCCTTTCCAAAGCACCATGGTCTGCAGCTTTGGCGATCGAGATATCCACCTTGACAAGAATCCCGGGCCCATGTGGCCGTCAATCTCCTCCAGCAGCGTCGTCTTGGTGGTCACCGCATCTCCAATGGCATTAACTGTGGCAACGACGTCCACCACCTGCCTCTTGTATTCAACCTTGGGGAAATGGAACGCCTGGAGTTTCCCGGCAAAGAACTGCTTCCGGACAGGGCCTGTGAACTTAAGGTCTTCCAACATCAACGACAAGTTCCGGAAATCCAAGGTTTTGATGTAGCGACAGTAGGGCTTGTAAGTAGCGTGATCGTCGACGCTCGAGAGAATGATCGAGCGCCATAATACCGTCCATTTCCGGTAGAACTGCGCCTGTTCAGCGGCCTTGGTCGCGAAGTCGGTCGGCCGTTGCCGGACTTCTAGGTCATCTCTCTGCTCGAACGCTGGAGAGTGCTGGTGTAGTCTGCGGCACGTCAATCGCCAAGATCATGGTAGGAGGGCGAAAGGAATTGTCGAACTTACTGATACATAGTCCGAAGCGCGGGGTCTGCGAAAGACTTGGAACTCAGAGCGCATGTGTAGAGCGAGCCAAATTCCCTCTCGCTTCCCAGCTCCTCACATATCAAGGACAGAATTTCATCCGGAAGGCTGGCGCCCTGATAGACAGACATCGTGCAGTCCTCGAAGCACGCACGGGCAACAGTGCCAGCGATAGCGGAATCTAAGAAGCAAGCGTTTGATCAAGATGATGGAAGCGATTTGAGTCGGAGAGAAGATACTGGGCTAGTTACGGCTTGGGATAAAACTTAACTTCGATAGAGAAGACGCGATGTCAATCGAACAACTGATACGCGAAAAGCTGGCATTGGAGACTCGTCCGAGAGTCGCAGAGAGTCGAGGTTTGAAATGACATCACCCCATGTACGCGTCGACCCGCGTCTTCCTGCTTCACCACTTGTCACTCTTCACACTCACCACCTGCGTCGACAAACCATATGCCGACTCTCTTGTTCACTGTGGCTCCTTCTGGGGCTGCATACTTTCACGATCTTCTCACCTGCCTGGCAAAGTTCGACGAGGATGTTTCCCTCGAGGCGACACCTCAGTTTGTACGTCCAGACTCGGGAGCAGGATAAAATCAGGTCAACCACTAACGCAAGTCCGTGAAGCTTCGATTTTCCAGTCTGAATATCTCCAAAACAGCTCATGCTGCATTTACCCTCAGCTCGGCCTTCTTCGACAAATACCATTTTTCTCCGGGTCCGCCGACTGAATCGGGCCCTGCGCTGCCGAAGCAATGGTCCTGCAAGCTTCAAATTCGGGTAAGCCATTTGGTCTGGTCCTCATCGGACGAAACTCATAACAGTCCAGGCTCTCCTGTCCATTTTCAAGCGCCGCCTGGGCGACCAGCGGGACAAGGACACTGCCCTTGAGACTTGCGACTGCGAGCTCCAGGATAACCCGGACCAAGCAGAATGCCGGCTGGTGTTCCGTTTAAATTGCCGGCAGGGCGTTGTCAAGACGTATCGCCTGTTCTACGAGTCCGGCGAAATCCTCCATGCGGCGTTCGACAAGATTGGTTCTCCTAATTACTGGTCCATATCATCGCGGACACTGCGGGATATAGTCGAATACTTCGGTCCCAAAACGGACCAGCTGGATTGGTATTTTCAGAATGGAAAAGTGACTTTCACCAGCTACACAGAGAAGATTCAAGCTGGAAGAGGTATGTTCCATTTCGCTGTCGTCGCTTCCCATTGACATTCCCACAGAAATCCTCAAGCAGCCCATGCACACCTCTGTGGCCCTCGAGCGAAAAGATTTCAGCGACTTCAATGTCCAAGAAGGGTTACATATCGGCACTGTGGTCAAAGACTTCCGAGCGATCGTAGCCCATGCCGAGACCATGCATTCTCAAGTGACCGCAAGATATTCGCGAGGCAATCGGCCCTTGCAGTTCAGTTACGGAGAGAATGGACTCCAAGCAGAGTTCACACTCATGACGAGAGGTTCTGCAAATGTCCCAACTAGTACATCGACCGCAGCAACGCCAGCTCGGGATCTCTCCATGCGCCCTTCATCGCGCCCTTCATCGCGCCCTCCTGAAGCAGCAAACCCAGCCTCACAAACCTCGGCTCTGAATGCTCGACCCCCGCGAAGCGCAAATGCCAGTATGCCGCCTCCAGCGCGCAGTTCCTTACCCAGTCGAGATCAGCCTACACAGTCAACATCTGCTCAAGCAGATTCGGAAAATCCTGCTCCCTCGCACGCTGCAGCACCAACGCCTTCCATAAGCATCGATCCACACAGCCTCTTCATTCCCGCCGATGACGACGACCACCAATGGGACGAACCCAACTTTGATGAAGAGCCCGACATTGTGAAGTGGGATGAATCCGCGGACAACGCGGCGTCGGCATCGAACTCGACGCGGCGGATTCGTGATTCCGAATTCCATTCTTTCGCCTCGATAACGGAGCAAGAGCAGCACGATCGGACGTCGAATCTGACAAGGTCACGGTTTCCAGTTGAGATTGCTCCGACGCAGCGACTGTCGCAGGTGAAGGGGATTTTCGACTGACCGAAAGCGCCTGTTGAGACTCACCCGCCTTTCATCCCGCAAACTACGAAACTCGTGGCACAACCAGCCGCCACGTTCTTCGTAACAATTTCCTGACCAAGTGTTGGCAAAGAAATCAGGTTGTATCGGTCGACCACATTTCCTCTCTGATCCAGCGTCTCACCGCAGTTGCCATGTTCGCCCCAGCCCCAAGCAATGACTTGGTTGTCCCTGGTCAGGGCGACACAGTGTTCACTCCCCGCCGCCACAGTTCTCACAGGTGGGAGGCTAGCTGGAGGAAGCTGGCCGTGGTCATTTCTGCCTGCACCCTGCAACGACTGTTCAGACCGTGTTCGCGACAGGATGTGAATCGAACTCCAACCAGAAGCGACCACGTCGTCTTCTTCCACGATCAACTGAAAGTCGTTCTTGTCGAAAAACCTTGCATCTCCCCAGATGGCTGGCTTCCACCCCGTCTTGACGAAGACGGTATACTCTCTACCGAGCACCGCTCTCTCCGGTACCCAAGGCAGTAACTCCTCTCCGTCGACCCCTGAACCAATGTTTCTGGGACACCACAGGATTTTCTCCGTCTTGAGCTGTTCTCCAAGCTGGCCTTTGCGACAAGTTCCCCACCCGTAGACCCTTCCATCCGAGAGAAAGACAACAACATGCGCCATAGAGCCCACAATGTCAACGATCTCGACAATTTCGCCACTACTGGAAGCTGAGTCAACCTCAAATATCTTCTTGACTTGCCCACCCGTAGAAGTGATATTAGGCCCTAGGCCGAGTTCGCCTTTGATACCGATTCCCCATCCGACGATGATCTTAGAATCTACGACCGCGAAGGAAGCTTCCCATGACGCCGCAATGTCGGTTACGACCCTGTCCACTCCGATGTTCCTTTCCGAGATCGCCACCGTGGAAACACGATGGGTGATCTCTTCAAACACCACACTGGATTTAGACTCGATCTCTCCAGCCAGGTCGTCGTAGGCCATGCCGGTCTTTCCGGCAACGAAGAGACGTCCATCCGTCGTGAGGAGGAGGGTATGGTTCCCTCCGGCGACAATCTTCTTGACATCACACCCTTGTCCCGGAGTGCTTTGTCGAGCCGAGCGACTGCTGCTGTCGGGGTTTCGACCGCCGTTGGACACATCTGACCTCGCGCGAGTGCGAGTGTGGAACAGGCACCTCTCGGGCTGCGACACGTCTTCCGCGTGGCCGATCCCTAACTGCCCGGACCCGTTGGAGCCAAACGCATACACGACCGGCATCGACGCCGAGGCGAGTGAGTGCGGGTCCGCCATCTATCTCCCAGCTAGATTTGTTCGCAAGGGGGCGTACTCATGGGGAAATTCTCACGACTCACTCATCGACGTTTTACATTTCAGGGATGCCAGACAGTCTGACTCGTGTAAAGGCACATTAGGAAAGACAGCCAGATCACTTTTTGCCGTACGTGGAAAATATTGCTGGATTTCTGAAGGATGACATCCCTAGAATGTTGGAAAACGGGTCGAGAGGTTTAGAGGAGGATGATGCGGTGTCACAGTCTTGGCGTTGGGCAACCAAAGGACGAGTAAAGACGCGATTTGGAGTCGAGCATCGACCGAGTCTATCTATATGCGGCTCACCTTGGCCGTGCCGCCTTTATAACCCAGTCAGCCTCCCTCTCACCGTGGCACTCACCATTCCTCCCAGAACTATCCCAGCGACTCCAACGCCAGTGAAGATCCAGGATCAGCTGAACAATCACCTTCGATCTCAATCGTGCCCCTGTGTTTACCTTGGGAGGCTTGTGATTGGTTTCGCTTTCAATCGGTGCGCTTGACACGCTCTGCCCTGTTGCCTCTACCTCTATCATCTATTCTACAAATAGTCACCAGACCCTGCGATGCCGTGAACACGCCAAATCGTGTGGAGTGATTCATAACGCATCGAATAAGTCTCGAGAAGACTTCTCGTTCGACGTGACTCGTCTGTAAAGAGAATCCCCCGTTGACTACCACACCTTCGTCAGGCTGAGGCCTTGATCATAACGGTCTTGATTTCGGTCCACGCGAGCAGCGACTTCAAAGACGATTCCCGGCCCTCTCCACTCTGCTTGGTACCCCCGAACGACAGATCAAACGCCATCGTCGGCGACGTGCAATTAACCCCGACCATTCCCGACTCGAGCCGCCTGGCAAACCGCAACGCTCGGGAGAGGTCCTTGGTGAAGACTGACGCATACAGGCCGTATTCGGTGTCGTTGGCCAGTTTCAGCACCTCCTCTTCCGAGGCGAAGGTGTTCACCACGGCGACCGGGCCGAAGATTTCTTCGCGGTTGATCGTGGCCGAGTGGCCTGGATTGAGGTACACCGTCGGCTCGACGAAATAGCCTTGTTCGCCGATCCGTCGACCGCCGGTGATGGGGGTCGCGCCCTCGCGTTTGGCGGTCTCGAAGTAGTTCATGATCGTTTCGAACTGTTGGGCGTCCGCCTGCGGTGCATGCGTGGTTTTTGCGTCCAAAGCATCTCCTGCCTGGCCCATGATCTTCTTGAACTCGGCGACATAGGCGTGCACGAAGTCATCGGCGATCGACTCGTGCACGTAGACGCGCGAGCTCGCCATGCAGATCTGGCCCGAGTTTTGGGCAATGGAGAATGCCGCCGCGGCCACAGTCTCGTCCAGATCCGCGTCGGGAAACACGATCAGAGGGGATTTGCCGCCCAGCTCCAAGGTGACGTCCTTGAGATTCGACTCGGCCGCGAGCTTCTTGATGATCCGCCCCGTCCGCGTGCTGCCGGTGAAGGCCAGCTTTCTAATCCGCATGTGGCTGGCGATGGCGGCTCCAGTGACGCGACCGTGGCCGGGCAGGATGTTCAGTACCCCGGGTGGAAACCCGGCTTGGATGATGAGTTTGCCCATGTACAGCGCCGTCAAGGGGGACTTCTCCGAGGGCTTGAGGACGAGAGTGTTCCCGGCCGCCAGGGCAGGCCCGACCTTCAACGACATGGCGACCAAGGGCCCGTTCCAGGGGATGATGGCGCCGCAGACACCGTACGGCTGGACAAAGGTCATGTTGATCAGCCCCGCGGTCGTCAGACTCGTCTCCCCGTGCACCTCCCTCGCCAGGCCGGCAAAGTATTTCAAGATATCGGCAGTCCACTGGACCTCCGGGGGATAGAAAGCCGCCACTTTGCCCATGCTGACAGCCTCCAGCTGGGCCAGTTGCGGCGCGTGCTCGACCAAGAGGTCTGCCAGCCGGATCAGACATTTCGCTCGCGCCGCCGCATCCAGCGCCGCCCAAGACGGAAACGCAGCTTCGGCCGCATCCACGGCTGCGTCGACCAGATCGGCCCCTCCCTGACAAACATTCGCTGTGAGCTTGCCGGTCGACGGGTTGTAGAGGGCAAAGGTCTCTTTGGCCTCCACGAATTCGTTGTTGATGAAGCACCGCGTTTCGATATTAGGGCCGTCGAGGACACCGTTCGCCATGTTGACGGTCTCAGATCCTGGAATGTGGATTCCTGAATGGAAGATCCTGCCCTGATGGCGGTTGCTGGCTTCCGATCATTTCGGCGGTTTCGTCACGTTGGCATTTAGATAAAGGACTCCAGGTCTTGTGTTCGCCATCTGTCCGGATGTGTCAGGGAGCATCCATACGTCGTTTGGGCTTTACTGGGTGCCTAGGTTTAATCTCGAAACCAGCAGTCGGGGTTAGGAGCTGCGTACTGGACCCATAGATCTGTACCTCGTAGAGCCTCGGAGTGATCGCTGGAGCCGCGGTTGCAGTAGTATTGGACCAATTGGCGACCCCACTCCTCCATCATGGACGCGAGCTAGCATCGAGGGAGGGATTCAGCGAATGCTGGGATGGCCGCAACATGTATTTGCAAGTTGTGCTAGTTTAGAATACTTCAAACCCCGGATGGAAACTAGAGCACTACTGCTTCGACGTGGACTGCTGTAGAATTATCTGGTGTCCTTCGTCGCGCAGACACCTGGTTTCCTCCCCTCTGATACAACGACACCAAGCACTATCATGGCGTCTACGATGCGTGCAGCGGTCGTCCGAAACCCGGGCAAGGACTTCACAATCGACATCGTTGACAAGCCCAAACCTCAGCCCGGCAAAGGGGAGATCCTCGTCCGCCTCCACGCGACCGGGTTATGCCACTCGGACCTCTCCTTGATGTCGAGAGAATGGACCGCCTTCCAGACGCAGATGCAGACGGTGGGCCACGAAGGCGCCGGAATCGTCGAAGCCGTCGGCAGCGACACCACCGGATGGCAGGTTGGAGACCGAGCTGGGGTCAAGCCGATTTCCTGGGTGTGCCACACCTGCGAGAGCTGCATCAAGGGCCGCGAGCAGTATTGCCCGCAGGCCCGGTTCACGGGGATCACAATGGAGGGCACGTATCAGCAATACATTGCGGTCCCCGCCATCTACGCGACCCGGATCCCCGCCGCCGTGGACCTGTTTGACGCCGCGCCGCTCATGTGCTCGGGCACGACGTCCTACGCCGCGCTGCAAAAGAGCGGCCTCCGCGCCGGAGAGTGGGCCGTGATCCTGGGTGCCGGGGGCGGGCTGGGCCATTTCGCCATCCAGATCGCGAAGGCGATGGGCGCGCGGGTGATCGCCGTCGACGGCGGGCCCGCCAAACGCGACCTCTGCCTGTCGCTGGGAGCTGTCGAGTTCGTCGATATCGCGTCGGGCGCCGACCCGGTCCGGACCACGATGGCGCTCACCGGCACGGGCGCCCACGCGGTGATCGTGGCGTCGGCCCATCCGTCCAGCTACGCGTCTGCCCCGGGGTTTCTGCGCCTCGGAGGCACCGTGGTCTGCGTCGCCATGCCCCCCACCGGCACGGCAAACATCGGCGGCGACCCGAATGACCTGATCGCCAAGAATGTCACCATCAAGGCCGCCATGGTCGGCACGCTGGGGGACACGGCGGAGGTGTTGGATCTCTGTGCGCAAGGCCTCGTCACTCCCGTCACCAGGAGATTCCCTCTCGAGCAGTTGCCGCATGCAATCCGGCTGTTGAAGGACGGAAGCATCGTGGGTAGAGCCGTAGTTGATCTGTGGTCATAGAGAAACGGGCTGCTCTTCTTCACCTCTTCCAGGAAGGCTTGATGTCCCCACTAGCCATTCCATGAACAAGTTGATGGAAGGCTACAGTTCCACCTTGTGTCTCATCCCCAGGCTTCCGACGCCGCAGTTAACGTCGGCGACGGTGTAGGCCAGCCGTGCTGTTGAGGCTGTCTCTTCACGGGCTGAATAAGACATCTCGATGTCGCTCGATCAAGTCAACCATCCATATAGAAAGGGAATTCGTCATCATCTATGCTACCAAGTATCTGTGAAATAGATCACTAGATAACTAATAGATTTACGAATATTACATAACCAAGCCTCGTGTCCAGCCTGATCTATCTCCTTGAGTAAGCTAGGCCCTATATCTTATCATATGGATCGAGCTAGCTCTTCGGCTGACTTAGCTTCCTCGACTACTGCTGGCTACATACTCGGTATAGGTCTTGCCGTAATAATACTACAGACCGGCCGCTAGACCCTATTGCACTATCACGGTCCCGAGCGAAAGACATCTTCCTGCGAAAGCGACATCTTGACCATTTCACGATCTTGCTCAAGGGCTGTTTGTTGAACGACAGAGGAATTTTGTTCGTAGTGCCCCGTCTTCGCAAAGTCAGACTTATGGACGTATCAAGCTCCAGCCTCACCAAGTGGGATCTTATAATAGATGACACGACAACGTCAATTTCATTTACTTTCGATCATGGCTCCTAACGATTAGTTACTCAGCCTCGGGCTAGGTCAAGCACAGCACTGTTGACCTTTACACGCATCTCAAAGGACCAGCTCGTGCCCTTGTCTCACACATTTAGCTGAAAATTTCTAGGCCACTTTAGAAGATGGCGATGGCGTTGGGATGACTCCCCACACCGCCTGTACGGTTTCCCTTCGTCAGCAGATCACGTTCCCGGATTGCGAAGTCTCGCTGTCGACGTCCACTCACCGGGCACATTCGCGGGGGCGCTCGCGAAGAAGAAGGCATATTGGTTCTTGCGTTTACACGTCTCGGCCAACTGCTCCAGGTCCCACATTTCGCCGATCGGCACGCCCCAACGGGGTATTAGGTACTGGTGGAGGTTGATGGATTGCCGGGGCCAGGCCTCAAACGCCGGGGCATCCCCCGCTACGGCGCTGAAGTAGTTGTCGTGGAGGAAGTCGAGCATCTCTTCGGTCTGCTCGACGCCGACGAAGGTATGCTCCGGGATTTTCAGCGTGCCCAGGTGCGCCCGCGCCTTGTCGTCCAGGTTGTTGTAGGTTTCGACAAAGCCGGAACGGATGATGAGCACGTCTCCGTATTGAAACTCGACCCCCTGCTTCCTTGCACAGGCGCGAATGTCGCTCAGGGCGATCCGATGTGTTGTCGTCGGGTCATAGTTCTTTCCCACAAAGTCCCAGTAGTCGATGAGAACGCCGCGGCCCCCTTTATCGAGACATTTCATAAGAGCTCTCATCCCGTCGCTCGATCGAGAGGGGGTGGACTTTACCTATTCCATGCTCGGACCACGCCTGCATCCCGCCAGAATGCGCCTTTGTGTTTGTGACATCCTCCCTGGTAAGCTACACGTTTCCTTTTAGCACACATTTGTGTAACGACGGGATAGATGATACGTACTCCGTTGTAGAAAACAACGCTGTCTTTGTGCTTGAGGCCGACCTTTCAGGGGAATAAGAGTTTACTCCTTTTGAGAACGAAAGTTGCAGTCTTACATGCCGAAACCCATCCCACTGTACGCGAATCGGTCATTCTAGGATACGGACAACGCCATTTT